CATCTCTTTAAAAACTACTATCCCAACTGCCCCCCCCCCCCCTGACCGACAAACGATGCTGCTGGGTGCCGTCCATGGCTTGACATGTAAATAGCTCTGAAAGGGGTGGAGTGACTTTACGTTTGTTTTTGTTTTGTTTTTATACATCTGTTGTTTTAAATATATATATATATATATATATATATATAAGACCAGTGTAATAATACTAATAATAATCTTAACGGGAAGGTGAGTCGCTTTCTTTCTGTTCGAAGTCACTGGGGATTTTGATGCACTCATCAGAATCAAATGTCATTCAATGTGAAAACTGAATGTATTCCTTGGCTGAGCGTAACCAGCCAATGTGACAACTGAAAGTGTTCCTCGGCTGAGCTTAACTAGCCAATGTGACAACTGAAAGTGTTCCTCGGCTGAGCTTAACTAGCCAATGTGACAACTGAAAGTGTTCCTCGGCTGAGCTTAACTACCCAATTTGACAACTGAATTTGTTCCTTGGCTGAGCTACATTAGCCAATGTGACAACTGAATGTGTTCCTTGGCTGAGCTTAACTACCCAATTTGACAACTGAATGTGTTCCTTGGCTGAGCTAAATCAGCCAATGTGACAACTTATGTGGATCCTGATCCAATATGACAATAAACGTTGCGCAAAGACTGGGCTAAAGTAAACAAATGGATAACCGACGTTACTCCTGGACTGGCCTAAACTAGCCAATGCGACAACTGACGGTGCTCCTGGACTGGCCTAAACTAGCCAATGCGACAACTGACGGTGCTCCTGGACTGGCCTAAACTAGCCAATGCGACAACTGACGGTGCTCCTGGACTGGCCTAAACTAGCCAATGCGACAACTGACGGTGCTCCTGGACTGGCCTAAACTAGCCAATGCGACAACTGACGGTGCTCCTGACATGGTTTGGTCGGATTCCCCTACATTTCGTCCAGTTCCCACTCGGAAGAACAAGCCGTTAGCCTGCATTGATGGGACTGCGCGTGTTGGGAGGAAACACACACCAACGACATACCGCTTGGAAATCCACATACCACAACGTACAGCCGGAAAGATTGTGCCACAACGTACTGCTGTGGCATCGAGTTGTGTTCCCGCTCTGAGAAGCCACGAAGGGACGTACTGGATGAGCAACTTACAGCAATCATTTTATATTGATACGTTAAAGATCTAATTTGTCGGATTATATACAATAATTTTATGGCAAAGCAACGTCACTTATGATGTCATTACCAGGAGGCCGGCATCCATAGCCCATAGAAAATAGATTTCAACTATATGCAAAAGTAGATCTAAGCCATTATTAAATGCTAAGAATAATCAAACCCCGAACATGTAGAACTTCCATGAATTTTTATAAAGCATTTCTATATAAATACATTTCAAATTCATGAAACTTTGTTATGAATTTCTTTGACTACATATAAATGAATATGATCACAAGTATGTCATTCGGTGTGTGGATTGAATCAAAGATAAAACCCCCAGACAAGAGCAGGGGATAACTCAAACAACATTCATCCACCTACAACTTATACTAAAATTCATGCTGTCACACGCCTATAGCGAAAAAAAAAAAAAAACAACTCAACGCTTTATAAGTTTTGCATTCTCGACAGGCTGTGAATTCTAGTTTTCAATCCGTCACTAAATGTCTACAAGAAATCATTTTAATAACTTGCAACAAGGGGCTCGTTCCGTATTAAAATAAAGTCAATTATACATTACAATACATTATGTATCTATAAATGCATATGTATTATTAATGTTAACTTTGGAAATAATAAGATATACTACATAATATAAAGTTAGTTTGACTCATAAAATCTTGGGATCATCGAGTTACAAGAGAGCAGGTTTCCAGGGCATGGGAGATAACCTTAAATAGAGTTGGGTAGGGATTTCTGTGGAGTCACCGGCTGAAACAATAGACTAAGAGATATTGTAATCTTTAAACAGTTTTCATTGTTCAATTGTTGTCCTAAGGTTTGAGTTTTAATTCCTATCATGACATTTCATTTGTCACCAATCACTTTATACCGGAAAACCAAGTTGTAAAATGTTTTCCCCTTTCAAGAAATTACTATTTTAAAAACCTCATTTCTCACAAAAAATATTGTCGCAATGGTCACAGTTTGTGACAATCTGTCAATATTTACGGAAATTCTAGAGCATTGTCATCATTAAGTGAGTTTAAGGGATTTCTCGGGATGGTGAAATTTCCTAGCAAGTCCTTTAAAAAAAAACAACAAAACAACCCTTCAAATCGTGCTGGATTCAGGCATATCAGGATTCCATGAGAGAAAATATGGTTACAACTTAATACTACTGTTGAAAATATCTTTCATACAAAATAATCTTGAGGGGGGGGGGGGCAGGAGGTGCGTAAATCTATTTTTAAAAAATATCTAAGCGTTCAAAAGAGAAGAAATGTAAAAAAAAAAAAATTAAATTGAAAATATCTTTCATACAAAATAATCTTGAGAGGGGGGGGGGCAGGAGGTGCGTAAATCTATTTTTAAAAAATATCTAAGCGTTCAAAAGAGAAGAAATGTAAAAAAAAAAAAATTAAATTCGTTGCTATGCACTGCGCTGATTATTTAATTATTCAACGTCTCTCTCCACCCACGCCCCTTTATCAAAATGAAAAAAAAATAAATAAATTAATTAATTCTTATTGCATGACGTCAATTACTGTTATGCTCCTTTCCCCAAAGCGTTAGAAATCGTCAATTCAAAGATGGGTTTCCTTAATTTTTACATCACAAACCTCAGGGGGCTCCAAATATAGGCTGGTTGCCCGAGTGTGTGCTGGTTGCCCGAGTGTGTGCTGGTTGCCCGAGTGTGTGCTGGTTGCCCGAGTGTGTGCTGGTTAGCAGAATGTGTGCTGGTTAGCCGAGTGTGTCCTGGTTATCCGAGCGGTCTTAACTTGAGTTCACTCCTCGAGCAAGAGCTAAGACAAGCAAAAGCAACACTAGCACCCCGTTTGGATGGGACTCGTTAATCTTGCATGGGAACACGTCAAAGAGAACTCAAACTCTTGAACTCAAAAAACCCATAGATGGAGTCCCGTAGGCGGTATGACGTTTTACACAATAAAAATTTCAGACAACTCCAGTGAAGTGGAATGCATAAAGAGAACAGTGAAATACACAAAAAAACATTGGTCTGGACAAAGACTAGCCATTTCATCAAATAGGCAAGGACGAGAGAGTGATGCTACAGATCTTATCCCGAAACTACTCTTGCCTCGGCACTCAATCGTATCAGCACCATCCACGAAAACACGCTTTTAAACCTCGCCAAAACAAAAAAAGATTATAGAAGAAAAAAACTCATATTAACTTTCCACCCTCACAATTAAATTGCCAAATCATATTCATAAAGAATCGTAACATACTTCTGGCTGACCCTGACACTAACGGGGCATTCTCACCCTCGCCAGATTTTGTCTTCAGACGGGACGAAAATCTAGGGGGGACCTTCTGGTTCACAGTCGTCTTCAAGCTGACCAGTCTTACGTTGGGGCCAAAACAGGATCGAGAAGCCGTCGTAGGCTTTTTCCCTATGCACCCGAAACCAAAAAAAAAAAATTAGCTTCCCTAAAGGTACTTTTACCATCAAAGAGGGTTTCACGTGCGTTAGTCGTATTGTCATATATGCGACTGTTTGCTGTAGATGACATTCTTGTTAAGAACGAAACTGATAGAAGATTATCAGTTAGGGTCAGTGAACACCTTCGAGATGTCGAGCAAGCTAAACTTTCCCCAGTCTCTTCACATTTCAACAGAGAGCAACATAGAGGTGCATTAGATAAATCCATCAGTGCACTAATTTCCTGTACCAAAACACTATAGAGAGAGTTAAAATGGAAAACAAATTGTTCAGCTTTTAGGCACCATATCACCATGTGGTATTAATAAAATACTCTCCTAAAAATTTTTCTCAATTTCTCCGTATTTCTTTTTATTTCTTATATTTTAAAGTATCCCTAACTATTTTAGACCGTTAAGATTCGGGATCTTATGGTTCATTCATATATCTATATATTCTTTCTTTTCCTGTAATCTGGTTTTTAAAAATCCTCCTTCCGGCACCAAAAAAAGAAGATCACCTAAATTTATTACTGTGCTCTGTTTCTTGACATATTTTCATCTGTCATGTTTGCTGAGGAAGGCTCTAGCGCAAAAATTTGACACCTTATTGTCTTATCTTTAGAATCAAGCTTCCATATACCTTTTTCTACTATTACATTGACACAGGTTGAACCCATTGCTTCATTTTTTAAAAACGTTTGACACATGACACATAGACTTGTTGCCGCTAGCAATACATTTTATCAAATTTTCAGCTCCCCCCCCCCCAAAAAAAAATAAATAAAAAACAATAACAATAGTTTTTCCTGTTTTTCAATCCCAAAAAAAAATGAATAAAAAACAATAACAATAGTTTTTCCTGTTTTTCAAAGGAAGATGGGTCAAGTCTGATTTAGTCCCATGGGCGCATGTTTTGTTGTGGTGTTTAATTGTGTAGCTGTTGCTATATGCTTTTTATGTGTGACTTATTCGTGTGTGTAGTTAAAAACATATTTTTGAAATGGAAAATGGAAGGCCGCATGAAATCTATATTTGCCATAAGTTAAAAAAAATTTACATTAAAAAAGTCAATGAAAAATTATTTATAATTTCACAAATGCAAATAAAAATGAATATAAAGAATACATCTGAGAAGCTTTTTGTAATTAGTCATTTACTTGTTTAACTAGTCATTATTATCTACTATTCTTATCATCATAACACTGCAGCATAATATCGTTCATCTATTGATTCACTGCTGGTTTAAAATTGTGAAATGATTTAGACGTATTCAAAATGTTTGTTTGGACTTCCTTTAGCTTAAAAATAGCATTAAATGTGTGCCTGTACTTTGTACTCATTCTGTAATACAAGAAAATACTTAGTGACGAGTTCAAGCTTTCGAACAAGTTAGGAAAAGAAAATGCCATCAGAAACGAATTCTTGTAAAGTCCGACGATGTAAAATTCTGGAACTGTGACAGCAATGAGCAAGTCAATGATGGCTGGAGAATAACAAGAGATGTATATGACTGCGATAGCCGTTATCATTTTAATTGTCTTGGATTCTTTCTTATCCATGTTTTTCAACGCTCGGTCTGCTCCGGAAGTGGTTTCAGCGCGCCATTTTGATTTATGTCGTAACTCTGCAATAAGAATGACCGTAAAAATTATAATTAAGGAAAATGAAAGGAATTGACTAAAAGTGGTAATTGTGAAAGTTATCCCCCTTGCAGCCTCAGTGTGCTTTCTCGGCACGATACCAATCAGAGTTTTGTTTCTGTCGGGAAAATATTTCCAGTCTAAATAGAAGGTCATGTACTCAGGTATGAGGGTTGCAAACATCATGACGTAGATTGAAACCATTATGAAAACTACGATTTTAGGAGTGACCAATCTCTTGACTCTCAATGGGGCCACAACGCACAGACATCTTTCGAATGTGATGTACGCCGTTATCCAGCTGGTGATCTTGCTGAAGGAGGCGATGGGCCAGGCAGCCACTGAGCTAAGGAATTCTTTCGGCTCAATTAAAATGTCTGCACTGAGTAGAATGGGATTATTGAGGACAGCGATGATGAGAACGCTCATCTGCATCCCCATGTCACTGACGGCCAAAGCCAAAAGGCTAATGTTGACCGTGTCGTGGAAACCTTGTGTCATGAAGACAATGATGTTGATGATGTTTCCACTGAGACCAATCAAGGACAGGACGGGACAGATGGAGGCAAAGTTTATTGTTAGAATCAGTTGGCAGAGTTCGTCACTGATGGGGCCAAACATCGCGTCGTGTTTGGTTTCATTCAACATTGTTTTGGTACCCGGTTCACAACTTCAAGATGTATTAGTGAGATAGGTCTACCTAAATAAGCGACTTTTTTCTTCGCATTAACTAAACTTCACCAAAAAAATCAATTACAAGGGCTTGTTACTTAATACAGGATTCTTAGATGTAAAGCTTCATAAAACTAATAGTAAATAGAAGAATAAAGAAAATAATAAATTCTTTGTCGTTAGTCATTATGATTCGCCCTTGATTGAGTCTCATCACTGAGATAGGTGTTATTGAATCAGTCTGATGACTGAGATTGAAGTGCTTGATTTTTTCTGATGACTGAGATAGATGTGCTTTAATTACTCTGATGACTGAGATAGATGTGCTTGATTTAGTCTGATGACTGAGATAGGCGTTCTTGACTTAGGCTGACGGTTCTTGATTTGCTCAGATTTCTTTCCATCTCATCGACCACCGCTGAAAGTGAATTTTCCTGCGAACAAACTATCCTATCCGATACCTAATTCTCGCCAGCGAAAAAAAGATTTACTCTTAACTCATATCTTCTTCTTATACTTCTATATTTTGAGGGCACACGATCATTGTATCAATCATTCCGGCTCCTATCGATACACTGATGCGGTCCTCTTTCTTCCTAGCTTGTGATGACTTATGTTGTTTGTATTTTTTACTAAAGCGTTTAACATAAAATTTTTAGTCTCTGTCGCTTCATAAAACCAGCGACTATAATTAGTAGCATTTTACATTTTTTTAAAATACACTGATTAATTTATAAACTATGTTTATTGAGAGTAGCAGGCTTTATAAATATAAGTCTCTGCAGGAGGAATATAATGAAATTTTACTTTGTGTAATAGAGCAATTTTTCATGACTCCATTTTATATTGTTGGGATGAAAATAATAAAGCTAACTTATTTTTAATGACAGTTCATATTGTGCACTGTTATTTGATGGTCGCAGGCCGCAAGAGTAATTACGAATAAATGATTTAGGGGTGGTTGTGATCATAGCTTACAATTTTGGTGGTAAGTGCAGTAAGAACTGGTTCCACGGTCTAACAATGGGGCTAAACGTATCTGAATGACTAAGGCGGGGGCTCTTAAACTTGTTTGCACACACTCTTGATTTCGAAACATTGCCCCCCACCCTCATCAGAGTTTTTTTAAAACATATTTCTCCCACCAGTATGAATAAAATGCTGATACAAGTTCAAATAAACCTGATATTCTAGGTCTTCCCTCATCATTTGACACCGCCTGCCGCACACTGATTAAGAACCCCTGGTCTACAGAAAACCCTGCAATTACAAATAATCTAGAATATGATTTTTTAAAAATATAAGCTTATATAGGTACACATTTTCGCGTGCATTTACATGAAATATTGACTAAGTGGAATACGGATAATAAATAAGCTCATTATATTTAATTATTATTAAACGATAGCATTTAAAAGCATTCCTATTATTCGATCAAGTTTTTATTGACCTACATTTCCCGACCAATCTTTTTGAAGATCATCAGCCGTCAAAGTCTTTGTTTTGGCTCGGTATTAAGACGTGGAGAATACATAAAGGGGACAAGTACCGTTTGGATTCATACGTTTTGGGAAACTTTAGTGTCATAAAATTAGTTCCATTTTAAAGTAATATTCTGATAAACTTTTTATCTAAAGTAGTACATCCTGCGTTCACAAGTTCTGTAGAAATGACAGTGTTAAACACAGGTACATCCAGCGTAGAATTTCTACCGACATGTTCATCTAAACACAGTGTTATTATTAAATACGTTCTTCAATTCTTCGAATTGCTTCTTTAAAGATTTGTATTATAATATGTTGTTTTGATGGCAGTTTTGCAAATATCTGCTTTAACGTAATTTACGATATTATATATGCAGTGGCGTAGCACGGGCAGGCTGAAAGATTTTGCTGCGACACCCCCAATACAAAAATTATGGAACTGGCAAAAAATGACACCACTCTAAAGATATAAATTTGTATATATAAATACAGGGAGAGAGAGATAGAGAGAGAGAGAGAGAGAGAGAGAGAGAGAGAGAGAGAGCAAGAGAGAGAGGGAGAGAAAGTCATGCCCATGGCAGACTGCCCCCCTACTACCCAGTGTATAAACATAAGAACGAGATCCTTATTTAAAAACTTTCTGTATTGCAGGATAAAGACATGACGTCTCATTGTGTGTTCTGTCTTTAATGTTGAAGTCAGCTCATAGGCGTTTCAAGCTGAATTAGTTTTTACTTTACGACACTAACCGACTCATGAATATACTATAAATGGATTAGTCAACCAGTGGGGAAGTGACATCAGTTGGTCCTAAAATCACTCAGGCCTATTATGTAAGCACTAGCTTTGGCAATACCAATATGTTACAGCGTGTAAAATACGGCAAGAGGTGCATGAAATATAATCTATAATATAATACCAGGTGTACGGACTTGGAGGGTTCTTCTGCCCACACGGACTATGCAATTTTTTTTACAACATCATAAAGTTACTCTCTGTGCCCTTATCTGGTCTTTCATCACAAAATAGTGTATCAATTATTTCCACAGTTCTAGATTTATCATATGGCACAATCAAGTTTCGTTGTAAATAATGTTCGAAGCCAAGGGGCTCTAATAGTGACTGCTATTTTTATTAGCCGAATTCACAATAAGAAATACATCTCTCAAAATCCGAAAAGGCTTTGGAAATTAAATCACATGAATTCGAATTACTAACTTCTGGATAACATCATCTTCTTTAACTTGATAATGTATCAACACAATGTAAATCTTCATTGACACATCAATGATTAAGTCTGATGCCTGAGATAGAAGTGCTTGATTCAGTCTCATTACTGAGATAGAAGTGCTTGATTCAGTCTCATGCCTGAGATAGAAGTGCTTGATTCAGTCTCATGACTGAGATAGAAGTGCTTGATTCAGTCTGATGACTGAGATAGAAGTGCTTGATTCAGTTTGATGACTGAGATAGAAGTGCTTGATTCAGTCTCATGACTGAGATAGAAGTGCTTGATTCAGTCTGATGACTGAGATAGAAGTTCTTGATTCAGTTTGATGACTGAGATAGAAGTGCTTGATTCAGTCTGATGACTGAGATAGAAGTGCTTGATTCAGTCTCATTACTGAGATAGAAGTGCTTGATTCAGTTTGATGACTGAGATAGAAGTGCTTGATTCAGTCTGATGACTGAGATAGAAGTGCTTGATTCAGTCTGATGACTGAGATAGAAGAGCTTGATTCAGTCTGATGACTGAGATAGAAGTGCTTGATTCAGTCTGATGACTGAGATAGAAGTGCTTGATTCAGTCTGATGACTGAGATAGAAGTTCTTGATTCAGTCTGATGACTGAGATAGAAGTGCTTGATTCAGTCTGATGACTGAGATAGAAGTGCTTGATTCAGTCTGATGACTGAGATAGAAGTGCTTGATTCAGTCTGATGACTGAGATAGAAGTGCTTGATTTAGTGTAATGACTTCATTCCTCTCAAAACAAAAATCATTATTAAACTCCTTTCCCTGATTGGCTAGTTTCTCCCAAAGTCCCAACACTCTTTATTATATAAGAAATACCATATTACTTATCTCCCATTAGTATTCTCATTCATATCTGTGACACCCTTTCTCTTCATTAATTTCGTTTTAAAATTTCGTTTAAAGTTATTTCATTTTAAATATACCGTAGTAACATCCAATTCAAATACTTAGCAACATAGCAAAAAATTCATCTTGAGTGGTGTCACAATAATTTAAAAAAATATATTTCACATCACCATTCACAGGTACTTGAATTTCAACATACTGACTATCCTGAAAAATGTCTACATCAATAACTGTTCAGTAAAAAAAAATGTGTACACACTGTTATTTAAGGAACTTGTTATGTCTATACACAAACCATTATCAACATATCTCAATGTCATCGCACAAAATCAGTTTGTCATAGAAGTATATTTCTAAAATGTATTTTCAAACAACATTGTTGCTAAACTTGTAAATTACAATATTATAGTTGCACACAAAGTGTTCAATCTCCATTGTATCTATAAAAATCCTTTATGTTGCTTTTGAAGCGTAATGTTTTATTTTAAAATGATGTGTCAAGCTAGAGTTTGAACTATCTGTTATGAATCATTCTTGATAAAATGTCTGGCAAGTGGTAATCCACTCAATTCATTGACCTAATCTCAAATTTATAATCTTGCAAAATTACAGAAAATTTAGTAATCCTAGCATCATTGACTTTGTTTTTGGTGAAATTCTTTAGTGGTTTATGATCTCCCAATACAGTAAATGTTGTACCCAATAGATACTTTTGTAGTCGAATTATAGCCCACACTATTGCTAAGCATTCTAGTTCTATAACGGCTTATTTATTTTCTGCATCTGTCAATCTTCTGATAGGGTCTAACACAGGTTTATTAATATTACTGTATGATTGCAATAAACATGTTCCCATGCCTTCTCTAGAAGCATATGGTGCTACAATGAATGGTTTTTCATATGTGATTGGCTTTAAGGTTGGCTCTGATTGAAATTGTAAGCTTATTTGTTGTAAGGCTGCATCACATGGGCCCACGTTCTGGAACCAGCTCCCCTTCCACATCCGTCATTGTCAAACCTCGTCCACTTTCAAAAAGTCCTTAAAACCCATCTGTTTAGGTCCGCCTATGACCTGTGATGCACCCTCCTTGCCCTGCCTCATTTTCTGTCTCGGGTTGATCCTGTGGTATAGGCCAAAACGTGCCAAAGTGTACTCGTTTTTATAGCCATTTTAATGTTCAAGCTACTGTTTCTATAGTCATTTTTAACATAGTTGCTACTCTTCTAGTGTCTCTGGTTTTTCATTTTTAATTTTACTTTAGCAGTTTAAATAGTTTACATGCTTTTAATAATTGTAAAGCGCTTAGAGCTGTAAGGTAAGCGCTATATAAAAATGCCTAAATAAATAAATAAATCACATTC